TTGGCAAATATCATAAACTGACTATATATCGGCTTTTACATAACTAATACAGCCAAAGTACAATTAAAGTACAAAATTTAAAGTATCATTTAGCTCAATTTCAGACCATTTGAAATTCTAATACGTAACAACGCTATTCTATATGGGTGGAAAGGTCCCATGAAGCTTTGGAACCCTTGTGTGTTCTTTTCACTGTTGAATTGCTGGAGATGGAATATAGTATGGGATGAATTTTCTTGTCATGAACCGAGTTTCATAGTCTCTCTGAATGGTCACATTACATTCTGCGAATATCTAAGCATCCTTGGAATCGGGTGCACCCTCTTATTCTTCTTTTATATCTTTAATGTCCCCAACAAACGTGCCAGTATTGTTTATGATTAATGTGAAGAGCATAAGGAAGAGATTCATTTTCTTTGCTGACCACTACAACCCTTCAGACAAATGAGAAGATGTGGCACTTATTGAAGCATGTTGTTGGAACACGTACTCCTTTACCATCAATACTGAATATTTTTAGAATAAAATGGGGTTTGGAAGGTGGAAACAGATAATACATTGTTGATTAGAGTGCTACGAATGTGCCACAGGTAACTATTACAGTATTTTCACGGTGATTAAACGTGTCGAAGGACAAATATTTCAATATCAAGGAATGTGGTGATGTTAAAAGATAGACAATGTGCTCTTTGTTTGTGTAGATGATGCCCAAGGCAAACTTTACATAGTTATTGTCTATGTTAATGTTAGTAAGAAATCATATTCACTACTTATAAAGCGCTGTTGTATAGTACCTGACCATAGAAAGCCTATTCTAATTGTTTGTTGAATCACTTCGTGTTTTAATCACAGCTTACATTTATCGTGTTTTAGACTCCATTAGTTTCTGGAGTTTGATGTTTGTTAACATCAGACGTTGCAATGTACTAGGTGGCTGCAATATGCTTAACATCAGACGTTGCAATTACTAGGTGGATGCAATATGCTCATCATCAGACGCTACAATGTACTAGGTGGATGCAATATGCTCATCGTCAGACATTACAATGTATGCTTAACATCAGACGTTACAATGTACTGGGTGAACGCAATATGCTTAACATCAGACATTACAATGTACTGGGTGGATGCAATATGCTCAACATCACACATTACAATGTATTAGATGGATGGAATATGTTTATCATCAGACGAAACAAAATGTGCTTAGTAAACTATAGTATGTCATCACAAATCGTACATAGCATGTTCAATGATAGACATTTAAATGCTGGTTTGTGGACTGGAGTATGAGGAAAAGTACCGAAGAACAAATCTTACACAATTAAGTCGTATGATGGACACGTTAAAGGTCCGACACTAGAATGTTTCTAAGTGTGATGTAATGTGTTGAAGCATATTGCAACCACCTAGTATTGTAATACTCATTCTTGAAACTATTCCAGCGTATTCACTAAAGTTATAATAGCTTTTAACAATCCCCGTGTTGCCAACTGCATATACATAATCATCACACTTTCAACTTATGAATTGAGGGACAATCTCTAATTAATGTTCTTCCTTATTTTACATAGCCATTTATACATGTAAGGTAAGTAAATGATAACTGTTCTTTCTATAGCATTGTTTCAAAGTATTTCTAACACGAGTTAATACTTTTAAGAAATTGAGTGATATAGAATCATATACACCAGATAAAGTAATTTGTAAGTATCATGATTTAGTACATCCTTAAGTTGCCTAAAATAAAATATTTTATTTGGAGATCACAAGCATAAACACAAACACACAGGGTGCACGAATATACACAAGTTTTAGTTGTTTGTAAAGCTCCTTGTATTGACTTCTACATACAAATTTTCCTGCATAGCCAGCTTAATGATAAAACAGGCCTATGAAATTAAAACTTCATAAAAGATATTTAGGTTTTAATGGCGGATTTTCCATAGTTTAACCTACGCAGATTTCTCAAATAATATTGTTTTTTTTTCTATCACGTAAGGATTTTTAACAAATCGGGAAGAAAAAACTATAACTTAGATCAAGTTATTATTTCGTTTACCACAATGTTTGTTAACAAAAATACAAATAATCTGAAGAAAAGGGAAAAACATTGATGTCAAACATCATCCTGATTTTTTTGTGAAATTTACGTCTTTTAGTCTCAAAACTACGTGTTGTAGTCTTTCTTCTATATATTGCGTTATGACGTTTTGTGAAAAATCTGTACGTGATGGAGAAAAATGGATATCATTTTCGGATTCAGCGTACTGGAGTTACTGTACAACATGTAAAAATTTCAAGACAATACAACCATCGCAGGCCTGGTTATTGTTCTAATAATTTTTGAACTTGATACAATATTCATTGTTTCTATAGCATATAGCTGTATGGCAAATACTTAAATACTCATGAGCCTAATACCGTGGTTAAATACACTTACATAACATTGCCTTTCTTTTCAGTAACTTACTTCATTTAGAGAAATAGAACTAAGAAGAATGCAACTATTTTACTGTGATTCCTTTCAAATAGGATTTAAGTTACTATCTTTTTCTTTCATTATATGATCAAACTTCGTAAACCCATATTTCTCTGAAAAAGTCCTCTGGCGAGTCGGCGGTACGTTTACGGACTTACAACGCTAAATTCTAGGGCTCAATTCTCTGCGGTGGACAGAACGCAAATAGATCATTGTGTAGCTTTGCGCTAAAATTACAACAACCAGATTAAGTATTACACAGAATATTTAAACATATTTTATATCTCGCAATGTTTCAAATTTCAAAATATGTTTTAATTATTAAGATAAGAGGATCCCACTGGAAGTTTAATTCAATATCATGGTAAACTTTACTGTGGAGATCGGTTGTTTCGTTAAGCAACTAAAACTGTAAAGATTCAATCCATAGGAGTGGACCAACTCCAGGCAATACAGTTTTAATTGCTTGGAAATGAACATTTACATTGTATAGCTGATCACGATGTTAGATATTACTTAATGAATTAAATAATTAACTTTAATTGATATATCAACAGATATTAGCCTTCATAATCGTATTTAAAATCCTTAATCTTTATTTTCCTTCGGAAAGGCCGAAAACTCAAATATAATTACAAATTAAATTAAGTACATCACAAGTAACGTCTCAATTATTTACTAACGATAACTGAATAGAGGACAAACACGTTAATAAAATACGTATGCAAATATATAGAAAAAAGTAGCATTCTTAATTAAAAGATAGAGCAAAAATGTATGAACATAGCAACTGGAAACACAGGATATTAAATGTATAAATAAATAAAAACCTTAAGTAAAGATAAGTCTTTACACATTTGAATGTTATGAACATTTTCAAAAAAAAAGAATACAGGTAGAATGGAAAAAATGTTTGGGTGGATGTAAAAAAACCTATATTAAAGGAAAACAAATTGTCAAGTAGTAGTCATTACTTTTTGAACGCTGCAGTCAGTGAATGTACAAATTAAAACAACAAACCTGAGATAGTAGTTCTAGTTACAGTAATATCATAATACTGATTTTTCTTAATAGTGTGCCACTTATGCTCTCAGAATTTTTACGCTCTTTACAGTTCCTCTCAGTTATGTATAACTGGGTGTAAATGTCACAAATAATACAAATAAAAACTTTAGGTGAAATAACCCAAACATGGCTTTCCATATATTCTAACGTCATAAAGTTATTATAGTTTAAAGATAGCACGTATAAACATTCATTTTTTTAGCTCTTCGTTGAGTTATTCTTATTCTAAGTATGTCAGATAACCTTATTATACTTACTGCATAGAAGAACATTTAACCGAACAACATAGTTTGTCACCCACTTTATTGGCCTTGTATGGCCTGGTGGTTGAGGCGCTGGATTCACAATCTAAGGGTCGCGAGTTCGAATCCCCGTCGCCAAACATGCTCGCCCTTTGAGCCGCAGGGGCGTTATAGAGTGACGGTTCCCATTATTCGTTGGTAAAGGAGTAGCCCAAGAATTGGCGGTTGGTGGTAAAGACCAGCAGTCTTCTCTCTAATCTATCACTGATGAATTAAGGACAGCTGGCCCATATAGCCCTAATGTGGCTTTGCGTAGAATTCAAAATAAACCAAACTCATTTTATTGCGTCTATAATTTTCTTTTTGAAACGGTATATAGTAAGCAGTTAGTGTCATGGTTTGCTAATCTCTTAACGTCCTACTCTGAATCGGTGTTTCTGACCAACCTAATACTTCATGGCCTGCTGGTCCATAGTGAGCTTTCTGCTACAAAAGAAGTTGTAGTTCAACTTTTGTTAATCCTTTTTATTATTGCAAAACCTAAGTTTCAAAATAATGTAGAATGTTTTCCTACACTTCAAAAAATATGTTCCCCTATTCAAGTCTGACACACTAGTAGATACTTCAACCTTTCACTTTCCAAAAATTGGCATTCAAATTGTGAATAAAACTCGATCAGTAGCCATGTTATGATTCTGTATGTTCAGCATAAAAGTCTGTACATTTAGTAATTCATTACAACCTTCTCTCAAAGGACTCAATACATGAACACTAACTATTCTGGTAGGTATGTCAGAACTCGTGCAATAGATCTGTCAACATAAAAATACTATAATACATTCTACATACACAGTAAATCAAGCAAAATATTAATGTCAGAGAAAGGTTATTGTTGTGGGTCTTTCGAAGATACTTTTTCTGTAAATAGCTATAAAATGTATTGCATTCTGTAAAATCGTTCAACACTTACCCGTAGCTCCTGGGGAAGACATAGCTTGTTCCCTATTCTCTCTTCCAGTGATAATTGTACCTGGGGTGTTAGGACCGGGTGTACCACCATTTCTTGTACCAGCATTAGTATGTATAGGTGGACTTGGAGTTGATGAACACAAATCTGAGGTAAAATAAGTTCTTAGTTTATATAAGCTTATATTAAAAATAAATTCAATGGGTAGTATAGATGTGCAGTTTGTATTAGTAAAAAGTGGTATCTATCTCTTTACAAATGAAGGGAATTGTTTCTTATCGACCACACAAAGTAATTCTAAGCTATTTAAAGTTATCATTCTGGTAGTTCTTTTGATATAACAGTAGATGCTAAAAGCCACTATAAAACTAGTACCACACATATACAGAAAACATAATATTTATTTACTACTTCTAATATCAGAAAATCAATGATTCATTAACTGCCAGTAAACTCGCACTTCACTTAACATTACACACTAAATCGGCGTTCGTGGTAAAAAGGAATATTCATACTGTCACTTTTTCTAAAGCTTTGATAAATGTCATTGTATATATATTCCATAATTTTATTTGAGTGTATCTATATAGCACAGTTCAACGTAATCACCCATAACACATTTTATCCGCAACTCCAAAATTTATACTTCAGTTCGATGTAAAGATTTAGAGGACAGCTAATGTCTACATTAGGCAGCTGACCTTAACATCTTTGTCCAATTTATTCGAAATGTTTTTAAATTCTGATTGAATTTCAAAACAAAGAATATAAGCTTTCATGTAAAGTTTCTAAAATATGCCGGAGCAGAAAATAAGTTAAAATTTTCTATATTAAGAAAGAGATGCAGAAAACAGAATAGTTATATAAAAATCTCTATTAAAGCACAAAAACAGTGAAATGACCTGTTATCTTGACAATTGTCACAGGTCTTGCTTTCGGTCCTGGAGGTGGTGGGGGAAACATGGGATTGTTGTAAAAGTTGGGTAGTTTCGATGGGGTGCGAACACCTGAATCGGTATTCTGAAAATAAAGAAACATTTTTTTATTTATCTCTTAACATTGTCATGTTGTAAATATTATATATTATTTTGTCACAATTAGTTTTATATAAGCTATCCAATTACTATGAGATCTGTTTCAGAAAGTAAAAAACGGTGACAGTTGTTCAAGTAATTAATGTACAAACAATGTAACAACAAAAAATCACTTAACATTTCTAGCAATAAAGCCTTAACGTGACTTAACATATTAACATGAACTCAATAAACATGCTGCTAAATGCCACAACATTGTTTTGATAAACATAAAATTAACTAAAAAGTTTTCTTTAACTTCTGAATCAGATTCATGACGATAAAAAAACTTCATGCTCACCAGAAAAACTTAAACTTTCATACGAAAAGAAAAACAAACAAACATCAAAGTCATTTACTGTTGATCACCACCTTGAACATTATGACGCAAAAGATCATCTTAAGCTTCCTAAGGTTACCACATATTTCGCGATAACCTACTGATGTCAGCTTTAGAACATACAAAATTAACATAAATATTGTTTTAATCTACTAAAGGCCACCATTTTAAGCTTTGTGATACAAACAATTTGCATGATTTTACATGCTAATGTTCACTATCTCGCGCTTATTAATACACAAGATTAACTTCTTCTCACCAGTTGATGCCCACCACCTTGAGATTCTTGACACACGAGATTAACAAAATCTGATAGAGTGTCTCCATTTTCTTGATATTTCCCGAGGCTTGACCCAAGGTAATAAGAACCAGAAGCGGGTAGGGAGCTTCCCAGACTGGTTGATGGTGAGGATACTAAGTTAACTGTCCCTTGATGATGAGTAAAATCTGAGAAGAAAATGTTAAAATAAAATTTTACCGTGAACACACTTGTGAGATAAATCTCTTCACGTTGGTTTTTCTTTTATCTTTGAGTAAAGTTTGATTTTCGTTTACTAATCAAACAGATATTGATGTTTCATTGGGTAAAATTAGATTCGTTTGTGTATGTTTGTGTTAGTTTCTTTTGTCAGATGTAGAAAAGTTCTTTTTTTTCCATTGAAACACGATATTAAAGTTCTATATCTTTAAAGTGCTAAGCTTGTTTCGGGAAATATTCTGTAACATTATAAAGATTATAGCTTGAAAATTGCGAACAAATCGGAAAGATTGATTTCAGCATGAAAATTTATTTTTAGAATATTCGTTATGCAACTCACACAGTCATATGTTTAAACGCCTTTAAATCTTATTTTGATATATATTGCAACTAAATAACTTATCATTTACCGCATAGACATTTCTCATAACAATCATAAGAGCTCGTGCTAACTAGAAGTTGTCCTACAGGAAAAAGAAGGTGGAATAAGGAAGTTGAAGCGATACACTCGAACATTGTATACACGTATCTATCAACAGTATGTTTTTCATCTGTATTCAAATCTCAAAAGGTTATTAAAGGAGTATGCCATGATATAAGAGACTGTTTAGTTTAAATATTATTGATTAATTTATTTTGTAAGAGAATATTATATTATTGTTTAGTTTTTGTTATAATAAGAGTTAAAAGCAGGCGATTGTAGGAAGTTGTGTTTATAATTCATTGTTGTTGAGACTATAGAACGTCGCGTGCAATACATTGACGTCGAGAATATAGAGATTTCTTGAAGGTGGGCAGACGATTAAGTGATAAACATATAAATAGTGTGAGACGAGCAGAAACAGCAGACAGCTAATATCAGAAGAGAGTAAAGTTACGGGCAAGGAATAGTTTGGCGTGCAGTTAACTATCGTAGAAGTGATAGGCCTAACGTTTAATATGTTAGTGTAAGACTAATAATAGAAAATGAGATAAGAAGAAGAATTTATTCTGTCAAAGTGTGGTTCTAAAGTAATTGAATCAGCCTGAGTGCACTTTGACAAAAGGAACAGAGGATCTTTAGAAGAAAGAAGACCAAACGATTACGGTAACTCGTGCCACAATTGTAAGTGATCACACACAGAATATTAGTGCGATAGTAATGGAGAAGATAGTTCGGCATGTGCACTGAAATTCTAAAGTCATTGAATAGGCCTAAGTGTACTTTTGATAAGAAGAAGATGACAATATATATATATAAATAGTGTTTATGATATACCTGTAATCTCTATAGTGTAAAGAATTTGCTGTACATACATTTAACTTGTTCTGAATATATATATATATTTATTTAGAAAACAAATGACGTGCGTG